TCTTTTCTTCTATTGTCCAATTTTGGTGCAATATATAGCCTCAATTTCCCATGCTTAGCTGCCAGGAGTGGCACACGGTGTGACCTTTCAAGATTTGATATGTTGTGCATTCAGAGATGCTCTTCTGCACACTTTAGTTGAAACGGGTGGTTTCTTTAGTTACTGTACTTTACTGACGAGGTATTTCTGCTCAGAGAACTGCTGCTTACTGGTTATTTTTTCTTTTTCAGACCATTCCTGGTGAGCCACGAGATTGCTGCGCGAGAAAATCTCAGCAGTAGTTCCTTAAATACTCACACCCACCAGTCTAACACATAAATGCACATTCAAAGTCTCATGAATCACCTTTCTTGCCCATTCTAAAGCCTGATTTGAACTTAGACAGCTCGTCTCGACCACACCAACATGCCCAAAAGCACTGCAATGAGACTGGTTGATTAGATATTTCTGTTAAAAGAGCAGCCTTATTTCATGTTATTATCAAAATGTCACGAAACAGTGAACAGGATGAGTGAAAACGTAATACCTGTGACATGTGAAGCCTACAGCAGCTTGCAGTTTTTATGGTGATACAGTCACAGTTCCTTGAGAACATAAAGAAGAACTGAAAAGGGGATCACAGCCTTTCAATTAATAGTAACTGAAAAAACGAACCGAAAGCATCAGCAACATCAGTGATGATACATAAATATATTCAGGGTCTAATCAAACTGTCCTTCCATTTCTGCTTCAGAGAAAAGATAAGTTATTATTGTGGAGCAGGTAAATCAAAGCTCAAAACACTATTAAATGCCTTCATGTAGACCTGGAAGCAGGAAACTCATTATGTTCTCATTGGATAAATGACATTACAAGGTCATATGCTTTAACTTTGGCTAGGAGTTTATCTCCTACTGAAATGGGTTTGTTTTAGCATAATTATAGATGATCAGTGTTAGACTGACATGAACAGTTTCCATCAAAGGCATTGGGGTGTACAGTAAGGTTTATCGGCTGACATTACTGTGCCTATTAACTGTTTTTAAAACAGTACAAATGCAGAGGCGCAGACCCAGCGTTCTGCATGTCAAAGCCAAGACTGTTTTCTTTAGCGTTTCCATTTTCTGTCATATATTTTGGGGGAAGTGAGACCAGAGTTGCCCTCGCAGTGCTATAAATGGCTGTTCCACTAGGTCTTCACGCTGGAATTTCCCGCGTGTGACTTCACGTGAAGGAGAATAAAAACAGAAACTAGCTAACGACGCGAGAGTCGCCTAAAACACAAGTATATAGACTCGGACAAACCGTTAAACGAAGACAAAATGCTTTTCTGTTCCGTTTTTGTAGTTATCCCTGTGTTTATCTAGAAAAATCACGTCTTCTACCTAACGCTGAACTGTTTTGATGACGCAAGAAAGGCGTAGATATTTTTTGATCATAGGGGTGCGTGTATGATATTATTGTAATACGCCATTTGTGTAATAAGACTATTGTACTTATGGGCGTTAGTTATGTTTTTAATATTATAGAGTATCAGTATTTTTTGTTTGTGTTAATACTAGAGCCAGAACACCTAATCCTTGAACTCTAAGTTATTCATTTCACCCCTCGTATAAACTAGTGGTTCGTTCCGCGGAGGGGGGTTTAGAGAGGTTCCTGTAGCTTCTCTGGATTTGCCGTGACGCGCAGCCTCGTCCTGTGTTTGGGTGCTTTACTCGGGTATAGGAGAACTGTGGAGTACACATAAACCAGGACTAGCTGTCCGGAGCGGATCTTGAAGATCAAGGTGAGTTTCACAAAAGTGGAGTCCTAAAATAGTGGCGGTGTTGTCGTTAAAATGAGTCCATCGGTGTTTAACAACGCCAAATAACGGTCACGAATCAGCCAGACTGAAGTACTCGGAGGATGCCTGTGTGCTGCTAGCTTAACTTCTTGTTAGCAGGAATTTGTTAAACGGTACTTAAAAGGACGCTCGGGTTACTTTTAGCTGCCAGCATTTGAGGTAGCATTCTGCAGGCCGTTTAAACTATCGACGGAAAGAAAAATGGGCATTGGTGAAGGTTAACTGTGCTTCCAACAGACTGGAAAGTTCAAGTAGAAAACCATTGGCTATTCTGTTGATTCACAGCTGAAGGTCTGCTAATGGTCTTAATCCTGTGTTAGCGTTAGAAATTTAACGTAGTGAACTGGGAGTGCTTGTAGATGTACGTATAATTTTTTGGTTATATGACATGTTAATTATAACTCAAAAAGTTTTAGATGTTTTTGTGTGTGTTGTCTACTGGGATTGGTGTTGTTAACGTTGCTTAGCTTGTTCTCTTTCCTTGATTAATATTTACGTCGTGTTACGACACACGGAGACAAATAGAACAAACAATAGGTTTTTTTTTTTAGGTTATTTACAAAACATTTTAAATGATTCCAGCTCTACTGGATGATCATGTATGTTGTTGCATGTTCTCAGATCAGTTGTTGAGTGAATCCCGCTATGTCGTCCAGTTGTAAAAGGTATTTACTGTGTGGAGACAAACCCCATAATAACTAAAATATTCAGTGCAGAGATCCAAAGGCACAGTAATAATCATTCACTCATTGCCAGTATTTAAACCGAGTATATCACCTACAACAACATATGTTATTGAATAATGTCCTCTAACAACATTCCTGTCAGAAGGTAGAAGCTGCAATCAGTTTTTTGTGAAAGGACTTTTAACAGCTCTATAAATCAATTTTAAATGGCAACAAAGGGGGACTGGGTTCATTATAATGTAGCACACAGAGTAGGTACAACAATGCAGAGTCATAAGTATAATATAATGGCAAAAGAATTCATTTCTTTATTCTCTATGTGGCGCCTTTGTAAATACAAATACGGGTACAAAAGAACCCCCCCACATGCAAACATCATTATTAGCTTTTTTGCACAGACTTATTGTAATGTTCCTTGAGCTATGCTCGTTATATCTTCAGACAGAGAATCCACAAATTCTTTGAATTCTGAAGCTGAAATTAGTAGCTATATCTCAGACACATGCAATAGAAGAAATATGAAAAAGAGCCTTTGTTTTTGTCTTGAGTTTTGTTGGATTTCTTATGAAATCAAACCTGCCAGTGTGAGAAGTTTTCTTCCACTCTGTCACTGTATTCATGATGTCCTGATTACATGATCCAGAACGTAATCATTGTTGCTATTACTTCTGTCCAGCAGAGGTTTTAAATAGAGCTTGTAGTGCAGTCAGAAATCCTCTCCTTTAAAAGGAGCTGAGAAAGCTCAGCATAAGATTGCGCAGTCTTGGCAAAGGCCTTGACTTTCCATGCTCTGGCTAAATGTTACTAGGTGTGGAGGCCTTAGTCTTG